AAATACACCTTATGATGTTTCCAGGTATACAACAACTGTAATAATTTGCGCTTAATTTAAAAGTTTATACTTTAATTTCTCCTAAACTATCAAGTAGTTTTTGAATAATTAGGCCCCAGATTAAAAGTATTTTATGTAGTTTCTAAAAATGTGATAATATGTTTGGGTGACTGATCTTGATTTTTAGATAGTCGCCCCAGGGCTGAGAGCGGCGGTCAACAAATGCAGAAATAAATAAATAAATATAAATAAATATGCCAATTTTATGTGGGTGTGTGTATTGCTTTCAACTCTTAAATGTTGAAAACATAAGGAGCACAATGGGGCAAGAAAAACTGACTGGACTTGCACACTTGAGTGTCCACTGAAGTTTATCAACGGAACCTGATTTCTAGCAAAGTGTATTGACACAATTTTCAAGTATTTCCAACAAACGTTGTAGCATTCTTTTGTAACTATAAATTACCAATTAACGGTCATTTTCAGTTATTTTAAGACTTGAAACTTCGTAACTAAAATAAAAAATTGATTTAATCAAGTCTATATAAAAATATAGAATGAATAATAATATTTAAATTATTTTGTGTTATGGAACTACTCCTCATAGTTCGCAAAAAAAAAAGATTATTTTTTTTTTCTGGCTGAGACCCTGACTACTAGGGAGTTAAGGGATTCTAAGAATTTGTAGTCTAAAAGAGTAATGTTTCCAAGCGGTTGTTTAATATCACTAGCAGACACCAGAGATGTTAGAAAGCAGCTCAGTCCTAATAGAACAAAGTTTTTTGCTAACATGCTTGTTTCTGAGGCTGGACAATTATTTAAAGAAGCCTGCAAATTGCTCTATTTTACTGTGTTACTCTGCTTACCCCCTATTGTATTCTGTATTGCGGGGCTTCAGTGGGGATAGAGAACTTTTTAGACCAATATCAGCATAAGATGGATCCAATAGGTTATAGGGGGCATTTCTTGTCAATTTCACCAACTGCAGCATGTCAGACAGAATGATGACATGGACAGGTAGCGGTTTTGCTCTGCTCTTGGTGCTATGTTGATACACACTTTCCAGAGAGGTCAGGACAGTGACATTGTAACTCAGTGCAATAATGGGTGAAAATAAATATATACCACAAGAAAGAGTAGCGTACATATTAAGGCATGATATTATAAAGAATGGGGGAATCTTACTGTTTAGTTGGAGCCCGCGGTGGTGCAAAGGGTTAAACCCTTGTGATGGCAGGACTGAAGACCAACAGGTCGCAGATTCGAATCCAGGGAGACTGCGGGCAAGCTTTCTCTGTCAGCTCCAGCTCCCCATGTGGGGACATGAGAGAAGCCTCCCACAAGGATGGTAAAAATATCAAAACATCCGGGCGTCCCTTGGGCAACGTCCTTGCAGACAGCCAATTATGTCATACCAGAAGCGACTTACAGTTTCTCAAGTTGTTTCTGACACAGAAAAAAAAACCTGTTTAGTTTAGCAATAGGGTTTATTTGAAGTCTGCATTTTATCTGCTGTATCCTTGCTGCTACTGGAGGGATAAAATGTTACAGGAAACACAGAAAATTTAAATAAAATGGAACGGAATTCTGTTTCAAAGAAAATGAAGCAATTCAATAGCAAGATCTCCTAATATAAAAATGGGGAGGGGTGTTTGTTTTTTCAGGTGGGCAAATTTTAAAGTAGGGTAATGTGATAAGATGCAATATATTTCCCGCCAGAAATAGTATGCTTGATTTAAGCTCTCAAGAATAATGTCTGTCCCTGGTTTCTTTCCCCCAGCTTTCCCCCAAAGCTGATCACTATTGCATATCTGCATAGTGATCAGCTTTGCAAATCACCTGTTAAATTACAGTGGGATTTCCATTAAATGCAAGTAGTGTCACTTATATGGTTACGGTTGCTATTAGAAAGGGCTAGTCCTGTTGCTTTTTAGCACTGACCACATCTCCCACTTTTCCAGCTGGAAGTTTTCTGTGGCACTTTCCAATTTTGAGGTATTTTTGAATTCCCACCTGAATCATGTTGTACTTATTGTTGCTATGGTGCAGTGATCCTTATGTAATGTAGTTGGGCGTATACCACATTGTTAACCATATAGTGCAGGGTCTTTGCCTGTGTTTCTAAAAATCCCCAGCACTCATGAAATCATATTTGTCTAATAGCAGTAATACGATTTTAACTTTTAATTTTACAGCAGTGTTTAGTGCACTCAAAAGGGCCGAATGGGTCCCTAGTCCCACTCCTTTCACAGATATAAAGTATCACCAATTTATTACAAAATATAAAATTCAGGTTATTCTGTGCTGTGAGACCTTGGACTTTCTATCCACCCTTTTGTAATTATTTCTTTCTCAGTCTCTCCCCTTTGCTCCTCAGATTATTTATATCCAAGTCTCTTGCTAAAATCTAATAACTATTCACTCAGTACTCATTCTTCATGTGAAAATACTTGATCCCTACAGACGCAAATATTAAATATCTTTTATTGAATAGTATTTTGGTTTTACATTTTAATTTGAGGCTTTGGAAGCATCTACATTGTAGAATTAATGCACTTTGACATCTTTTTAAGTATTATGGCTCAGTATTGTGGAATCATTGAATTTTTAGTTTAGTGAATTATCAGCACTCTTTGGTAGAGAAGGCTAAAGATCATGTATTTATTTATTTATTTATTTATTTTACATCACTTATATCCCGCCTATATCAGCCCGCAGGCGACTCAGGGCGGTCTACATATTGGCACAATTCGATGCCATCAATACAATACAACAGCAAAAAACAATTAAGTGCATTTAGACAAAAAAGACAGTGAAATAACAATTTAAAAAGAGCTATATCCACTCATTCCAATCCTCATCCGTTTCATCGTCTTGGCCGTTCCTGGGTCATTCTCCATCTCAAGCTTGACTATCTATTCCGGGGTTCCGAATGCTTGTTCGAAGAGCCAGGTTTTTACTTTCTTCCGAAAAGTCAGGAGGGAGGGGGCTGATCTAATATCCCTAGGCAGGGAGTTCCACAGCAGAGGCGCCTCCACAGAGAAGGCCCTGTCCCTCGTCCCTGCCAAGCGTGCTTGCGAAGCAGACGGGATCGAGAGCAGGGCCTCCTAAGATGATCTTAACTTCCTGGAGGGTTCGTAGGAAGAGATGCGTTTGGATAGGTAGGCTGGGCCAGAACCGTTTAGGGCTTTATAGGCTAAAGCCAGCACTTTGAATTGAGCCCGGTAGCAAACTGGCAGCCAGTGGAGCTGATGCAGCAGAGGAGTTGTGTGCTCCCTGAGCGCCGCTCCTGTTAGCAACCTGGCTGCCGCACGCTGGACCATTTGAAGCTTCTGGGCCGTCTTCAAAGGCAACCCCACGTAGAGTAAATGTAAAATGCCCATGATTTCATAGCATTGAGCCATGTCTGTTAAAATGGTGTTCAACTGCATTATTTCCACCATGTAGAAGATGAACCCAAAAGAGGCATAATATATAAACAGGTAAATATTTCCAAAATCACTTTTTTGATTTTGTTTTGTGCCTTCAACTAGTTTCTGATTTATGGTGACCCTAAGATAATGTTATCACTGGGGTTTCTTGGGGAGATTTGTTCAAAGAATTCTTGTTGTTGCCTTCTTCTGAAAGAGTTATCTAATTGCTTAGATGATCCCTTGTTGTCTGAGTATGATGACCATCCAATGATGGTATGATGGTCATGGTGGTGGATACGTAGATGACTATAGAACCCAATTCTTGATCTGCGTGTTCTTCCACAGTGAGGACATCAGTTTCCAGGTGAAGGCAGTCCCAGTCAACGTTGACATGCCTTCCTCTTGGCACATTTCTCCCTTTCACCCTCCATTCGTACCTCTTCAAATTCCACAGCACTTACTTAGTACACTTTCATGACCAAACAGGAATTCAAAATCTGGTCACAAAAGTCATTGTCAAACACTCAAAGTTAAGTCTAAAATAGCTTAAATGAAAATATTATTTAGGATTGTGAAAGTTGGCATTCTGAAAACTATACTTTCAAAAACAACAGATGTGAACTAGCATTATATTCTACAAATATAATATGGGAGAAGCTCTTCTTGGCCACAGCCTGGTTGTGGAATGTCCTCCCCTTGAGGTTCTGCCTGGCATTTTTTTCCCTTTTGATGCCAAGTTTATAAAGTTATTGCATAATGATTAAATTACATAATGATTTAATTATGTGTATTGTTCTACATTTTTATTGCCCTATATTTTAAAATGTTCCAATTGATGTTATGGTAAACTGCCCAAAGACCTTGTGATAGGGAGCAGTATAGAAATAGAGTAAATAAAACAAAAGTACAGAAACTCCTAATACTTCATATATTTGCTACACACATGCATAATATTTGTTACATACATTTACTGAGCTACACATTTAAACACATTCAAATACAGCCAGCTCTCCATAACCATGGATTCTGCATCCACAAATTCAACAATCCATGACTTAAAAATATTTTTTCAAAAGTTCCAAATAACAAACTTTGATAGTATATAATGGGACTTGAGCATCTGCTTATTTTGGTATCCACAGGGAATCCTGCAATTAAACACAAGCTGATACCAAAGGCCGACTGTAGAGTCAAATAAATTTAAGCATGCATTTCTGCTAATCTTTGGGAATGGCAATCATTCTACATTCAGGTATAAATCCTTGATTTAAAATGTAATATAGTAGTTGTATTTAAAAATACAGTATGATATTTCCTTGAATACTGTGTTCTCTCAGTGAATCTGAGGAAGTGGATTGAATTCTTGAAAGCTTGATCTAAAATAAAACAAATGAGACCATAAGACTCAATTTCACTCTTTTATTACCTGCTTTTGATGGACGTGTAAGTCATTTTGAGCGTTTTCCTGGTAGAGGATTTATGTATATATAAATAAGTAATATTAAACACATATTGGTCCATCTTTTGATGATAATGCAAACAAAACTAAAGGATTATTTTCTTAATGGTGTTATCATACATTTCTAGGCTGGTGGAGAGCAGAATCAGGGAGCTGTTTTTCTACGTGAGTTTACATTAATTCGGAGAGAGAGCCTCAATGAAGATTTCCTTTCAGATTTACTGAATAACCACAAAATTGAAGATACGGTAAGACTGTCCTATCTTTTTTTTTTGTATGTTGTACATAACAGGTAGCCATACACAGATTTTATACATTGTAATCTAAATGGCAAGAGAGAGGATTCAGATCTGTTAGGAACTCAGCCCATGGTTGGAATTGCTTTTGTTGGCTGACAACAAAACCTGGTACTCTTCTCAACCTGGTACTCCTAAGAATAGACATCTTTGGTTTGGAGTATTCTTTTTATATATAAATAATTTTATTGAGAATATTTATAAAGAGTAGATTAAAAGAGAAACCAAAAACCAAAATGTAAAAGAAGAAAAAAAAAGAAAGGAAAGAAAGGAGATGAACAGGGGGGAAAAAATTAAAAAAGCCACAAAACAAAGTAAAACGAAGAGGCTCTGTACTTCCAGTCTTCTTCTTTGCTTGCTGTGTCAATCTGTTCTGAAATCCTAAAACAGAAGGTTAGTTTCTGCTTTCTCCTTTTGTTATTATGTCCTTTGGCATGTGGTTGGTATTTGTTTCTTGATCAGGTGATTAGGGTTTTCTTCTGGTTTAGAGTATTCTTGAAAGAGTATTGAACTAGTTGAAGGCCACATGGGCCACAGAGCCAATAAACAGGAGGGAAGTTGCATGGTACACTGGCTTCTTTACTGGGAAGTCAGGACATCAGAGAGTTCTGTGGGACCTTTGAGGCTGGCTAGCATGGCTCAAAGCTAATAAGAGAGAAAGATAATCAAACAAAGGGCGAAGTGAAACTAATGAATCAGTACAAGGTTATTTTAAATGTAAAGTAGTGATACTGTTCCATAAGTCTTGGATAGTCTTACTTTAAGATTCCACCGGAAGATGAAACCATGCTGCTGGACTCTACATACAAACTCTAATCAGCATAGTCATTGGTAAGGAGCACTACAAGTTGAAGTCTAACAATATCTGGAGGGGCTAGTCCTTCCCATTTCAACTCTAGAAGTGGCAATATAATGTAACACTTAAAAAATCTTGCTATGTCTTTAGTTAATGTATTAGTATGTATCACTTCTGTTCTAGAGCAGATCAAGATAAATCCAGCTAGGATTAACTCCTGTGAGCCAAGTGTTTATGACAGGGATTATTTCAGTAAACATTATTCTGAAATTAAACATTTGGTCCATATTTTTCAGTGTTCGTTTTCCTCAAATTTTGCTTCCAACTGTTACTTTTGTGAAGAGCCTAACCATATTTTGTTTTCATTACTTAACTGATCATATCTTCAGGATGATTTGAGGATGGGCAGAGTCTTGCTGATGGAATAGTGTTTTTGTAGCTAGCCAAAAAAGGAAACTCCAATGTAGCAGTCAGAATATTAGCTCGTTATTTCCTTTGGTATCCTGTATGTTTAACCAGTGGCTTCTTCAAAATTGTGGCTTCAGATAAGATGTTGCCTTGCTCCCTTCCATGTGCAGATGACTTTTTGTAACAGAACTTTGTCTGCTGTCATGCCTTAGGACAGCAGACTAGCTAAAGTAGTGCATAGCAGGTCAAATAATATCCACACATTGTGCTCCAGCATCTCACCACCACCACCACTCTGTCTTCTGCTACGAGAGTTGAGTGAAAAGTAATGCCTCCACCTTCGTAACTCCTCAACAGATGGCAGTACTGGTATGCGGCAGGTTATGGCTTGTCCAGTAGACTCTCCTCTACACTTCCATTTTGGCAGGAAGCCTTAGCATTGAATGGTTGTTTTGTTAAAGTACAAAGTATGGAACCCTGTGCAGACGGTTGGTCAATGCGACTTAAGCAACATGCAGTCATTGAATTCTTGACAGCAGAAGGTGTCACCCCAAATGAGATTAATCAGAGAATGCAAGCTGTTTATGATTATTGTGTTGATGTGAATACTGTGTGTCGTTGGGCGAGTAAGTTTAAAGATGTTGAGGTGGGAACATCTGACTTGCGTGACAAAAAAAAAGAGTTGGACATCATGTGACAGCAACCACCAGGTTTCACAAGCAAAAGGTGGACAGATTGATTCAGGGTGATTGTCATATCACTCAGAGAGAAATTTCAAGCATCATTGGCATTTCACAAGAATGTGTGGGTCACATTATTGCTTTGCTTGGCTATCGGAAATGTCAACTTCTTCTGTGACAGCTTCAGAAAACTTGTTAATCATTGGCAGAAATGTATCCAATTGTCTGGTGATTGTGTGAAAAAATGAATAGTGGTAGTTAAAGAGCACATTCTAAGGATTATTTCTGCGTTTGATTTATTAAAATATTCCCATCCAAACTCAAGTAACGAAGGTGGAGGCATTACTTTTCATTCAACCCTCATACTTAAGGCAAGTGCCTCACTCTGGTGTGCACCCCAGAACCGGTAGGGCCAGTTCTGGGGTGCACACTTATCTGTTGGAAATAATATTCATACCAACGGGATTTGAGGAAATCAAAATTTGTCTGTCTCTCACCCCTGTGTGATAATGTTGCCAGGTTTCCAAAATAGCAACAAGAGACAGTTGAAATTCATTACATTTAGGGTTGAGTGTCAGGAAATAGCTATTAACATGTTTATGTTCAATCTAAATACCAGCTGAAGCTTTTGATTTCAATTAATTTAGCAATTGAATTGCTAAATGAAATTAGAATTATTGTCCACACCCATCAATTACATATTGTATGTATTTCTGCTAAAAAACATACTTTTTTGATCTTGTTCAGTCTATATAAAAGAAGAAGCTTTTTAGCCCTTAAATAAGGAACATCCCTTATAATAAGGTGCACCTGCCAGTCCAATATAAGACAGGTTTTCCATTTCTTAAATAAGGGACATTCCTCATAGTAAAGGACCTGGCAACTCTAGTGATACTAACTTTTTCATTGTTTAAAAACCTTGTTTCTGATATTTGCAAAGTAAAAGAAAATGTTTTACACTGCTGTTGTAATGTGAGGAATGATATCATTTGGGGGTAAACAGTTGGCTAGAGTGTTCTAGAAATTAAATAGATCAGTCAGATAAATCTTGCTTAGTTCAAAGAAGACTGGTTAACAGAAGACGATGGGAACCTTAAATAGTTCCTTCTGTTTTTGTTGTCATTAATCTGCTTTCCAGCAAACCATCTCTAGGATTCTCACAATCCCACCCAAAGAGTTCATGCATCGGGCAAAATCAACACTTTGTTTTAACCGAGTGTATAAATTCATTAGTGAGAGTTGTATGTAGAATCAGCAATGTTCTGCTGCCAAAACAATAAAGATTCTTTGTAGAGATTATACAATTAACTTCACTGTGATTAATGATGTGCAGCCTGAATCAATGTGTATCAAGTACCTCTATGCCATTTTGCCTAGACTAACAGGCAACCTTTTTGTAAAGCTTTGTATCTATTTTGTTGATTTGGTCTGTTTCCTTGGTCTTATGTCTGACTACAAGTACTTCTGTAATGATACTACCATATAAATTATACAGAGGATTCCTACCAGAAAGTATATATTTTCAGTGAGCAGTTTATATTACCATTCAAAATAGTATCAGAACTGTTTCTTTAAAATTGTCATAAGGTGCACCTTGCATTTTAGTTAGAAAAAGGCATTAAATAATCAAGTTAGTTGAAAATGTATACAGAATTGTTACTTTTACATTTAACCAGATAAGAAACAATCCATAAGCCTTACCTGGTTCAATGTAGAAGTAACAAACATTCTATCTGTTTTCTAACGGAAATATTTCCTAACTTACCTAATATCTAAACTGTGTCTTTGTTCTAATTGTCTACAAACCTGTGTCCTTGTACTTATTCTGTACTAAATCCTGTGAGGAAGTTATATGCAAAAGAACACCTGGTTTTTTTTTATTCTACAATCCCTGGGAATACTGTATTTATGCAGTCTAATGCACAACTGAATCTAATGTGCACCTCAATTTTTAAAACCCTGAAATCAGAAAACAATTTGCTCATGAATATTTATTTATTTATTTATTTGGTGCATTTATTAACCGCCATTCTCAGCCCTCTCGGGCGACTCATGGCTGAATATAATGTGCAGCAGCAAAAAGTGCACTCCTTGTAATATTGCCATTGCAATTGCTGCCTCCTTAGAATTTCTTCTTTAAAAACAAAAGTGTTAGAACACGAAAGATTTCAGCCATGGAAAATAAAATCTTCAGGTGCATCAATGCTGTAGAATGGTTTTACTATAACTGCCTTGGTTCAAGTCTATTGAGTAGTGGTCTGATGGATGAGCAGTGGCTTCCCAACTAAGGCTTCAATCATGTACCTTCAAAACCAAGGGGAAGGGAAGCCATCACCTTCCATCAGGCTGTGGCTGGCGAGTTTGCCTGTTAGATGGGCACAGGCATCTTTACTAACATACAATATCATCAAATCCAATGTGTACCTCATTTTTGGTTAGGTAATTTAGCCCCAAAAAAAAGGTAATTTGATCTGAGTAAACATGGTATATCTATAAACTGTTCTCAAAGGTTTATCAAATTATAATTTGGAAAGCACTGAGAGAGCAAACATCTGGAGATTTTATTAGCTTAGAATTCTAAGTGTACACAAATACATGGTTGACCCAAAGATACTAGAATGTCAATAATATTACAGACCCATGGTCAGGAAATTTTAAAAATGAAGGAACATTAATTTATGAAATATCCTCAGCTACATATTTAATTATTTCCAAGAAAGCTGTAAACATTTTCTCAACATTCATATTTGCCCTCAACCTATACTACATTAGTATTAAGTTGGGGCATGGTGGCATAACGGGTTTAACCGCTAAGCTGCAGAATTTGCTGACTGGAAGGTCAGCAGTTTGAATCCACAGGATGGCGTGAGCTCCTATTGTTAGCCACAGTTTCTACCAACCTAGCAATTCAAAAACATGCAAATGTGAGTAGGTACCGCTTCGGCAGGAAGGTAACACTGCTCCATGTAAGTGACTCTCTGAAAAAATTGCCAAGAATGGTTTCTAATTATTTTCACAGTTCAAAGTCTAGTGCAGAATCTGATAAATTTGTTGCTATTAAATGGGCT